AGCCCACCAGGGCCATGGCTGCGACCACTGCAGGCTTTCACTCCCTCCAATTCCAAAGCAGGAGTCTTCAGAAAATACTGCCTCAAACAGTATTTGCTGGTGCATTTGTTGACTCAGTAAGCATTCGTTTCTTCCTCACTGGCCTGTTACATACCAGGTGCAAAGGTCAGCTCTGGAGAAGGAGGGGCATAGGGGGCGTCCGGTATCAAGGACTGCCCCCTTCCCTCGCATGTGATTTTTGAAAGTAAGCCGCGACCCTCTAAGGATCCGTCCATTCACCAGTGCATTATGATCTCACGCGTGTGGTTTGTTCATCAAAAAGATTTCTCAGGAATTCAGGCAAGCGTTAGATATTCCCTACTAGCGCTTAAGGTATTATGTCATAGCTTCAAAACTAAAATGCATTTCAAAGCTGGAATGCATCTCCACAATTGACATTAATGGCAGAATGTGCTTCATGCAATGCAGTGTATGTCTAAGGCTACAGCTAAGCCAGCTCTGCACTTAATATTCCCCTGTCTTCCCTGTCAGCTCCCATATCCCTCATCCTGCATGCATCACACACACTCTCCCTCCTTCCTTATGAAAGAATGGGAGAGAGAATTCCAGTGTGACCTGGGAAGAAAAGTCAGAACTGGGTGGCAAAGGAGTGACAGTCAAGCAAGTGGAAATTGTTGAGCAGACAGATGGAAGCCAGGCCTCAGCACAGGCCTGGGCCCCCCTCCAAATATAGCATGAGCAAATGGGGTTCAAGACCAAGGAGCAGGCTGGGGGCAGTGGTTAGACAGTTCCTACAAGGCAACATCAAAGATCCTTGGGTGAAAGGGACTTCTGGGTATATCCATTAAGAGGGTTCTTGCTGAAGACATGATAGGGTGAGCAGGCCTCCACTGGGGGACAGACGGGGGGTGGGGGAGTAAGGAACCCAGCGACAGCAAAGGGATTTATGCCCGACCAACTGGACCCCTGGGATCTTGAGGCTAAAAGCCACTAGAAGAGTGACTGTCTAGAGTTGGATCAAGATCAGAGACTTGATCAAAGGGCTCGACTCAAACGTTGTTCATTACCCTGGCTTGTTGTCTCCTTCCTTATCTGCTTGCTGTAGAAAATGGTACATCAGGGGAAATTAGCCCGTTCTATTCCAAAAGGTATGGGAAGGTGGGATGGAGGGGGGTGGGTAGGAATTTGCTGCTGTTTTCCTTACATCAGTTCATCTGACCAGTGATAATGCAGCTGGCCAGACACATATGACTGCCTTTCTTGTCCCAGTGCTTGAGACGCAGTGACGAGGATGGCTGCATCCATGCTGTGAAAGGCTCTGCCCTCCAGCTGACGTGGAGGACTCCCAGGATATAGTGTGTTCAGTGCATGCATGCATACATGTGCACACACACACACACACACATTACCCCAAACCTACTACTAGTATCTACCTGTGTATAGAGAACAGAATGTTTGGGACCAGGGATGGGAAGAAAAGTGCCTGGTTGATTTCTACTTAGGAGTAGTGGCTTTCCCAAGTTTGCAGTGATAAAAGGCAAAGACAGAGTCTCCAGGCAGCGAGGTGATGGTTGGCGAAGGCCCCTGCTCCAAGCCACGCAGCACTGGAGGATCAGAGGCGACTGGGCAGCCTTCCTGATTGATGTCTTGCCTCTTGCTTGTTTTCTAGGGGGGTTATTTATTGAATGTAATAGTGAGGGTTTTAAGGCATTTTAACCACCCGGTTCTGCTGAATGAAATGAAAACATCAAAGCAGACTTTTATATTGGGGGTAATTTAATAGTTACATGCTGTTTATGGCCTGGATCACAAATACTTAGAGTGTCTCTGTTGACAGCGCTTGAGAAATCTGACAATTGTTTAAAAAGTGTTGCTGCTGTGGCTCCAAAGCTGTTATCTAATTCCTTGGAAAAGACTTCACTGAGCTGCTAGTTGCTTCAGGATTTGCAGTCAATTTGGCACATAGAATTGTCACTTCATTATTTGCTGACACTACCATGAACTGCAAGCTCCATTAATGTTTAACCAGACCTGATTCTCTGTGATTATATTTGGCAATGCTAAATATTATAGAGGAAATAGATTTTTCAAGTAGGATTCCCCCCAAATGGTAATGTTTCTCAGACTCCCCAGAAGCACGGGCAGTGTGTGTGTACAATGCCATGTTCTTATTCTATGGATTCAAAGCTTTCTCCGAGCGCTTTCCCGTGAACGCCACTTTTGTCGTTGGAACACATGCATTTTAAGCAGGAGTAGCGAAGCTGACCTTGAGCTAAGGAAGGCAAAGTGATGACGTATCAGGAGGCTGTTCTTTTCTTTTCTATATGTGATTGTAGCATGGACCAAGAAACACTGAACAAGCACAAAACCAACTGTGCGAGAGAGGCTCATTGTACAAAATATAATGGCATGCAGAAGGCTATGTGGCAAAACCACACGGGCCACACAGTCCAGATAGGACTCGGGAATTAAAAACTAAGCTCAAAGAACTTCCCCAGACTGAAGAAGAGGTCCTCCTTCTAAAGGGGTGAGGTCCTTGTGGCGCTGGCTCACTTGTCTTGTGGAAACTAGCAGAGGAAGGAAGTGGAGTGCTGAGAACAGGAGGCCAGGGAGAGGCGACATCACTAAGGGCCCAGTGGTGTTCTGTGTTACAGCACACTACAGCGGGTGGCTCCCCAAGGAAGGCCCAGGAAGGCTTTGGCTACCATGCAGAGTTTTAATTCGCATTTTTTGGATATATTGCACAAATATTCTTATTTAATCAAGATATTGAAGGGGATGGCATTGTGGCAAAGCAAGTGCAGCCCCAGTTTGGGATAGTGGCACCCCACAAGACCACTGGTTTGAGTCAGGGCTGCTCTGCTTCCAATCCAGCTCCCTGCCAATATGCCCGGAAAGCAACAGAGAATGGCCCACGTGCTTGGGTCCCTGTGTGCACGTGGGAGACCTGGACGCTACAGTTCCTGGCTGCTGGCTTCAGGAGCAGTTAAGCATTGGGACAGTAAACCTGCAGATAAAAGATCCTCTCTCCCCCTTTTCTCTCCCTCTGTCACTCTGCCTTTCTAACAACCCCTTTGAAACAATATTTTAGAAGAAAAGTGCAATTTCAAGAAAGCAAGAAAAAATTTGAGGCCTGAAGATCTTCCAATGCAGCTTTCTTAGAACTGAATCAGAAAGTGAGCTTAGTGTAGACGATCCAAAAGACGCATCATTCATCGAATGGATGCTCATTCTGTGTTTCCAGGCATTCTACATCTTCCCGTGTTCTCTGTGGAACAACCCAGCAGGGCAGGTGTCACTTCTGGCTTTTTACAGTTGAAGAGAGTTCCCACAATGGCTCGGCCAACATGTGGCACAACTGCTCGGCAGACGCCCGTGTCTTTGGCCCCAAAGCGGAAAAACACATCTCTCTCTCTCTCTGTCTCTCTGTGTCTCTCTGTCTCTCTGTCTCTCTGTCTCTCTCTCTCTCTCTCTCTGCCCCCATCCCCCATCTCCTTTTTCTGCGCCGTATTTCTCTGGCCTGCTCTGTTGCTTTTTAACTTGCACGTGCAGCTTCCAGTCCCAGCTGCCTGGATAGGAGGAGCCTGGCTTTGAAGCGCTCTGCTCTTGTGTGAACTCTCAGGGATGCTCAGCAGGGCGGCGGTGCTTGGTCCACCCCCAGAGGGTCACGTGTCCCGAGCTTTGATCCCAGCCGCGCTGGGAGTGGGCGGCTTTCCTGTGTGTGCTTTCTGGCCGCCTATGCGTACTCCCGGCGCTCTGCAACCCAAGCGCTCAGCCAAAGCATGCATCCGTCGGAGCGCAGAGCTCCAGGGCCACACAGAAAACAGCCTCGAAAGCAGTGACAGCGACCTGCCTGAAAAACCCAACTGGTGTCCAAGGCAATTCTTTTTAGTTACTCCTTTAAGACAGGGAGTGGGCCGTTATGATGCTTGCAAGAGCTGCCTGTACTCTGTTCTGCAGAAACCGACATCTAGCACAGAAAATCAAGTTCCAATATCTTACACACGTGTAGTATGTGCACAGTGTGAGCCCATGAGGTGCCTGCGAGGTCCTGCAGCCTAGGGGCTAGGAAGTCTGACTCGAGTTAAAGTGCATAGGTGTTCAAATCCTGGCTCGAGTTAAAGTGCATAGGTGTTCAATCCGCATCACTTTGCTAAGGTTTTCTTAAAATCTGAAGTTTCATCCCGACTTGCTGAGATAATGTGTGTGGATGTGTTCTTACCGTTAAGCAGTGGGATCCCATGTTTAATAATGCATTCTAATTAATTTTAGGCCATCGTGAAAACATACATGTATCGTTCTTTTTGTGACTACGTTATAAGTACATGATATGATGTGCGATCATGGATTTGGTTATTGAATTTGGAAGAGACCCTCTGTAGGTCTGAAGCGTCATTTGTTCCCCTCATTCGTGGACAACAGTTGTGTGTCCTGGTAGCTACAGCTAAAGAGGCTGGAGACATTCAGTGTTGCAGCATTTTGTCTAAACGAGAATTTAGCAAACTTTCAACAAATAGGTGCAAGTTTCAGAAAATAACTTGTGGCCAAACGCGTCAAGGCGATGATTTTGAAACATATGTGTTGCGTGGGTTCAGAGGCTTGCAAGCTCTCCTGGTTCTGCCTTGATCAGTGAATGTCTGAATGTGTCACCGGCTGAGCGCCTGAACATTCACACCACCAGCTTAATTAGGAAAGAAGAAAGAGCCTGAATTCTGCCAGCAGGTAACAATCATGCCGCAGAGGGGGTCCTCTGGCCCCTTTGTGATTCACACGCTCGTGGCGTCTTGAATAAAGTGGATGACTAAGTGTACTTATCCAAGTAAGAGAGATTATTAGCAGTGGAAGACACATTTGAACTTGCTGAAAGAGCTGCCTTTGTATGCGGGAAGGCCTACACTCGGTAATTATTAGACCGGCTCTTTTCGTTTCGTCCCAGTGCTCTTTCCTTTTTCACGCTTGCAAAGTCTGAATAGCTTTCTATTGCCCGTTAATCCCCGCAGGAATGTGGCTTTGGCTACGGGGAGGATGCACAGTGTGTGACATGCAGGCCGCACAGGTTCAAGGAAGACTGGGGCTTCCAGAAATGCAAGCCGTGCCTGGACTGTGCGCTGGTGAACCGCTTCCAGAAGGCCAACTGCTCCGTCACCAGCGATGCCATCTGCGGGGACTGCTTGCCAGGGTGAGTCGGAGTTTCTTTCCCAACTTAATCACAGTTTCTTCCCAAACTTGCATGCACGTGGGTACCAACCCCAAGTCAGAGTGGAGCGTCCCAAGCCTTTCATCTCCGCGTTCACCACTGGATTGACTGTGTCTGCCCTGTGCTGTGCCCTGGGAGGGGCACCAGTTGTGAGCATGTGAGCATATGAGCAAAGGAATCATATCGTGAGAGATCATATCATGAAAATCTAAGGAGTTCTGGCAAACAGAGAAGTGAAAAACAAAACTGGGACAAATGGGTGGAAGAAAGAACAGGCAACGCACAAAAGAGGAACCGCGTGTGCCTGACGATCTTGCGAAGACATCCACCCTCCTTAGCCATCAGTTAAATGCACATCACCCTCCTTCCTCCCACTACGGATACAGGCACTGGCTGAGCACCTGCAGGGCCTTGCTTTAGGTGATGACAGTTTGCCAGAGAACAAAAAGTCAAAGATCTGTGTGCCCCTGTGTGATTGATATTCTAGTGGAGTTTTTATCATAGGTAATGAGGAGATAAAGTATGCAGGAAAGACAAGGACACTGGGAATCAGATCAGGCCCGTGGTGATGGGTAGGCGAGTCATAGTGTTGAGTTTGGAAATGCAAGTTGACTTCATTGCAAAAGCAAGATCTGAGTGAGAACTTGAAGGAGATGAGGCCATTAGCTAAGCAGGTATACAGAGGAAGAAAATTACAAAGAATCTCCTGGGCGAGGCCCCAAGGTGGCCATGAGAAAGAAGCTGCAAGGAGTCCTAGGGAGTGGCAGGGGCAAGGCAGAGAGGAGGGACGCGTGCAGGTGAGAATGGCGAGAACTGTAAGTGAACTCTCTGAGCCTGGCTTCTTCGAATCCTTCACATACGCTAGACAGCAGTGTGGCCCTTACTGACACACACTTTGCCCATTCTGTAAGTTGTCTTAAATACAAAGATTTTTCATAACTGCTTGCTTAGTTGTTGAGTCTCTCTCTGCACAACCCAGCCTGCTGCCTCACTCTCTGTTTGCAGGGCTGTATCCCTGGGCCTGGGAGATGTGCAAAGCCCAGGAGGAGGAATGCTGAGGTTCTGAATTCCTCCTAGGAGGCTGGGGTGCTGGGGGTGGGCTGTGCTGGATGCAATACACAGCTGGAAGCTGCTGCCCACAGAGAGGGCATAGGATGCCCATTCATAAAGTAGAGAAGTGGTACTGAGCTTGAGGTAGGAAGGGAAAGATACAACAGAGGATTATAATTAGGTTATGGGCGAGGCTTGGAGGAAGCTGGATTACTGATCAAAGGAGGGAGAGAGAAGCCAGAACTCCTGGGCCTGTGGAGACCAGGCTCACCTGCAAAGGCAGAAAACAGCAGCTTCACGCTGCAGTAAGCAGTTACTGCTTCTGGTCGACTTCCGGTGCAGTAGCTAACCACTCTGCTTAGGAGACACACATCCTGCTTCTCCCAATTCTAGGTTCCTGCTCATTTCAGTTTTGCAGTAGGAGATGGCTCGAGTAGTTGGGTTCTTGTCACCTACCTGGGGACCTAGATGAAGTGACTGATTCCTGGCTTCCATCTGGCCCAGCACAAGCTGTGGCTGGCCTTTGGGGAGTGAACCAGTGCAGGAAGCTCCTTGTCTCGCTTTCTTCTGCCTTTCAAAATTGAATTTAAAAAATAATAATTTACTGTTTAGATACCATGCAGGGAACCAACAAGTTGGGCCCTCTTCCAGTGCTATCCCAAGCGCATTGGCAGGCACCTGCATCAGAAATGGAGCAGCAGGGACTCAAACCGGAACCTGTATAGGATGCTGGCACTTCAGGCAGTAGATATACACACTATGCCACAGCACCAGGCCCACGTGAATTTATATATATATATATATATTTGAAAAACAGCCAGAGATAACAAAGTGAAGAGAGAGAAACAGAGATATCTTCCTTCTGTTGATTCATGCCTCAAATGGCCTCAAAGGCCAAGGCTGTTTCAGGGCAAAGCTGAGAACCTGAAACTCTATCCAGTTCTCCCATATGTGTGACAGAGGACCAAGCACTTGGTATCTCTCTCTCTGAATGCCCAGGCAGCCTAGCAGGGAGCTGGACTGAAGTAGCTAGGACTCTAGTTGGTGTCATAATGTGGTATGCCAGTTTTTGAAGTGGCACTGTGCCATGACCTCTTCTAACTTTGAGAAGCTAGGCCTTATCAAGGTTTCAGATGATTCAGGCAAGGTCACTGGGTCACATTCGGAAGGCGCTACAAAAGCGCTAAGCAGACTCTGCCACCTGAAGACTCGGGGTCACTTGGACTTGATGTTCCGTGGGTTTTCTTTGAGAGCAGAGTTGAAGATTGAAAGCTATGGGTCTGAAGGGAAGAGCAGGGTAGGAAAGAGCCTGGTGGGTCAAACATGATCTAGTATAGAGACCCAGAACATAAGGAATGGAAAAAAAAAAACAAAACTGTGTCTAGCACCAAAAACAAATGGGAGCTGGATCAGACTTCATCGACATGAAAAATGGCTGTGCTTCTAAGGATGTCGCCAGACATGACAAAACAGCCCTATAATAGGGACAAACATTGGCAAATCACATAGATGAGAAGGAACTAGCTTCTCTAGACTATATGAAGATGCCCTACAATGCAGGACTCCCAAAACATCATCCAATGAAAAGAAAGACATTTTACCCAAGAAGAGAAACAAATGGCCAATAACATGTGGAAAAGATTCTACATCATCACCACCAAGGAAATACAAAATCAAATCCCAGGCTAGAGACACACAGAGGTGGATACACCCCTAAAGGAAACGTGCAGGTGTTGGAAAGGATGTGGGGAGCTGGGCCCTTCGGCTGCGGGGGCTGAGAATGCAAAGGGGCACAGCCACATTGATAAGCAGGCTGCCATTTCCTTAAAAAGACACGCATTGGGTCACCATGTGTTCCACCCGTAGCTGTGTAACCAGGAGGACCTGAAACTCTGGTGCACACGAAACTGGTCCATGAGTGTCCACAGCAGAAGTACATGTAATAGCCGGAGGTTGGTAGTTATGCTACTGTGGTTTGCATATGTCTCCTCCAAAATTCGGGTGTGATGGTCCAAGGCGGAGCCTTTCAGAGGGAAATAGGACATGAGGGCTCTTCCTCTTGTGAATGGAAGTGGGCATCATCCAAAGGGAGCCAGCAGAGGCTGTTTACCCCCTGTGGTCCTTTCACCTGCTGCCAGAGACACAGCGTTCCCCACCCCCGCATGGGGGATGCTGCCAGCACGCATCACCAGACACCAGGTGCTGACGTCCTGATCTGGAGCCTTCCAGAGCTCTGAGTGTAACCTTTGCATTGTTTATAAAGTACCTGCCCACAGCGTTCTGTTATCGTAGCACAAAACAGACCCTGGGCTTACCCACATGTCCACCAGCTAATGAATGAAAAAGTTAAATGGGGTGTGTTTGAACCATGGGATAGCACAACAGGAATGACGCATGTTACAACATGCAGGATCCCACAAAGCGCGCTCACTGAAAGCAGCAGTTTGTAAAAGATCATCTAGTCTGTGGTTCCATTTGCATGAAATATCCACAATAGGGAGACAGAAGGTAAATGAGTGGGCTGCTCAGGGCTAGGAGGATGGGGGCGGGGAGAAACAGGTGCTACAATGGGAGCTGAAGGCTACAGGGTTCCCCATGGAGTGACCAAAAATGTGCCGTGCTTGATTGTGGCGCAAATGTGAACTGTACACTTCAGATGGGTAAATTGTGTAGCAACTGAATTGTATCCTAGTATATGGCCACTTAGACTGAAGCGAAGTGCTGTGATCCCAGACCGCTGTGTGACGACGTTTATGAGTGTCATCCTTCCGTGGTTTGATCTTGTGCCAATTCAGTTCACAAATACGAACTGGAGATCTGACGCATCTCTTCTGTTCCCTACAGTTCTCTGATGCAAGTGTGTTTGTGTGTGTTCCCTTTGTCGGGGAGAAGGGAGGGAGTGAGAAGAGGAGGTACCCAGAAGGCCAGAGGGGTGGGAGAGGCAGGGCCCACGGACTTGGTTTTTAGAAGCCAGGGGGTGGGCAGTGTCTGGTGCAGCATTGGGCAGCCACTCAGGATTCCCGGGGCCCACACCGGGGTGCCTTGGATTTGAGTCCTGGTTTAGCTTCCTGCTGGAAGGCGAGTGGAGACAGATCGAGTCCTTGGGTCTCCACCCTTTACGATGGAGACTGAGCCCTCGGCTCCTGGTTTCAGCCTTGCCCAGCCAGGGAATGAGCAAGCAGATAAAAGATGGCTTTCTCTCTCTCTCTCTCTGCTTCCCCATCCTGCCTGTCTGACTTTCAGTTAGACAACAAATAAATAATTCAAGTCAAAGCTTCATAAAAAGGGAGGGGAAGAGAGAGAGAGAGAGAGAGAGAGAAAGAAAACGAGAGAGTGAGGGAGGAAAGAAAGGAAGGGAGAGAAAGAAAGAAGAAGCGAGGCACCTCCTGGGCTGTTTCCAAGAGGAGACCTAGTGGGTGTACTGTTGGCTGTGAGAGCTGGGCTTCCTGAAGGCGGACCGCCACTCCTGGGTCTGTGTGCTTAACCCCTTGCGTCGCAGCCCAGCCCGCGGCTTCAGTTTCAACCCTGTTTGTTCATTCTCTACATAAACACTTTGATGCGGGAACATTAGAACCGAATGGACATTTGATTGATGTGTCCCAGTGTATTTATGTGATTAGCTTAGACTTACAGCCTTTCTGGGCCACCCTTAACGTGGGAGGCAGTTGACAATTGTAGAGTGACTTTTACCCAGGTCTTTCTGGATGATATTTCTGCGAAGCTGGGGGAAAAGAAAAGAAACCAAGTGTGCATTGCTTCCAGGAACATGACGACGAGGTCGGGCGGGAGGGCAGCACTGGCACTTCTGATGCCTTCTTCAGCTTCCTTGCACCAAGATCTACTGCTACTCGGAAGTGCATGCCAGTAGGATGGCAACTCCTTCCCGGGAGCAGGAAGGGTCTCTGAGTGCAGAGAGCGAGTGGGACCCCTGC